GCCAGGGGATGAGTGAGGACCAGAGTCCCCCCATCATGCCCTTGTGGTGATGTTGCAGCGCCGACGCCCGTGGCCCACCCTCTTCCTCGCTCTTCGGGGCCGATGGCAGAGCGTTGTTCGCTTCCAACGCCTCCACGAGCGACGAGAGTCTTGATCTCCATGGTCAGCTCGGTAGATGAGTGATCGACCTCAAGACGCCAACGATTGAAGGACTCCATGAGCAGGAGCATGGACTTCATCTGCGCACTGAGCGCATCTAGCTTTTCTTCGGTGAGGGTTGGAGGTTTGGGTTTGCGCGCCAGCGAGTGGGGTGGCTTGGATGGAGGTGGTGGCGGATCGACTGGAAGCTGGAAGTCGATGGGGGGCGGTGGTGGCAAAACGAGTGGGGTGGAAGGAAAATGGATTGGCAGGGTGGAAAAACTCGCTGGCGCAGTGGAATCGGCGAGGATGGAGGTAGGGGAAGGAGGTGGTGGGCAAGTTGAACGGCGACGAGGGCGGATCTGGCGGTGGAGATGGGGGATTCGGCGTATGACCTCGCTGCTGCTTTGGATTCAACCGTCGGCGACGGGATTTTACGAACCCGTAATAGCGATGGATCGGATGGCTCTGGTACCAAATGTCACGGCCCTAACCAGATAGATGAGTTTGCCGGCGTGCACGCGCGGCTGGGAGCACGGCGATGGCGCCGCCTCGAGCAGGCAACAGAAGGAGGAAGAGGATTCGGAAATTAGGTCTTTGTTGTTCGCTGTCCACCCATCCTCCCACACAGCGAGTATATCCTCAGTGCAACGATAAAAACAGGCCGAGCCCAAAAGATACATCCACGCGGCTCGCAGGCTGACTTACAGGCCAGTACAGCTAGTGCGGCCCATCTTCGAAGAGCAGCCGGAGGCCTGTTCGTGACAGGCACCCACCTCCGAGCCCCCAGCAGCAGCGCCCTCCTCGACGTTAGCCACGGCGACGGCTTCCTCCATGCGGCGGTGCCCCTTACCGATGGCAGCGTCTTCTTCCCCGGGTTTCTCCATCATGTGTCATCTCATCATCTCCATCCTTGCATCTCCCTCTGTTGGATTGGATAAATAATCATGTAGTGACAATAAAAATCATGGATTTGTTGTCTCCTGTCTCTTCAGTACTCACCGATCTTTCCAGTCTCTTGTTTTTTTAGGGGGTGGCTCTGTGAGTACCGTTATCGATTTATGCTGAACAGAGCACTCTAATTATCCATTGTTGCTTCTTTGCTATTGCACACCTGATGCAATCTCTGTTGGATTTGATAACGAATCTTGTAGTGACAATAAAAATCATGGATTTGTTGCGTCTCCGGTCTCTTCAGTACTCACCGATCTTTCCAGTCTCTTGTTTTTTTAGGGGTGGCTCTGTGAGTACCGTTATCGATTTATGCTGAACAGAGCACTCTAATTATCCATGTTGCTTCTTTGCTATTGCACACCTGATGTAATATGTTGTATCTGTCTAATGTACTGCTACTTGAATATTACCAGAAGTGTTTCAGTTTGAGTGGGGTAGCTTGCTTTATTTTAGATTATGCGAATTCATCTTAATCAAGGAAGTTCAGATCGAAATTGCAGAGGCACTTCTCTGGGTAGTGGAGGCACATAAATTCATTCTTGATTAACTCTGTTTAGTGACAGTGTGATCACCGATTATCATTCATTTTGTTGTAGCTCCTTTTTTCTCTGTAAGTAGGCAATATATTAACATATTTTTCTGATGGGAGGAGAGGCCAGGGTCGCAGCTGGTGGGAGGAGTGTCTTAGCCGTGGACTGCCTGCCGCTATGGGGCTACACTTCCATATGCGGCCGCCGGCTAGAGATGGAGGATGATGTTGCCATAGTGCCTCGATTTTTGACGTGCCCCGAGTTCAAGAAACAGTTGAAAAGGCCTTTGTGGATTCTTTCACTAGAGTGGATGACGAGGTTGGGGGCAAGGTGGTCAGGGGAGGTGGTGGCAAAGCATGCACAAGTGATGCTGCTGTGGCGCTTGTGCCAGAACCTGTGGCACCTGAGACTGTGGGCTCAACGGTGGTCGCTGCTGTCGTCTGCTCCTCACATACCATTGTACCGAATTGTGGAGATTCACAGGCAGTGCTCCAATGTAGCAAGCATGCTACTTCCTCGAATAGTGTTTACTGTCGCCACTGATGGAACGATTATGGCATATGGTTGGAGTTTCTGATATATGTGAATGTATGCTACGATAACTATTTTGTTCTAATATCTTTGTCTTGCAGATGGCAATCTGCTTGGCGTTGTGGTGCAGGCCCTGCAGCTTCATCAAGCTGACCTTCAAGGAGGTGGCCTCGACATTGACCATCAATAGTAAGGATGGCAACGGATCGGGTTTGGGGCGGATATCCGCGGGTTTTGGGTTCTACGGGTTCGGGTTTGGGGATGGTTTTTCACCCACGGTTTTTGGTTGGGGCCCCGAAACCAATCGGGTTCGACCATAACCAATGGATATCCGAAATAAATAATTTGAAATTAAAACTCATGTTTTATAATATACTAATAATAATTTATTTACTTAGATTATTAAATTTATTTAAAGTTGACTCATGAAAATATTTATTATTTATTGCCTCTTGTTTATACATGTGAATATGTGTATATATATCCGCGGGTTTCGGGTATCCATTCGGGTTTCGGGTATCCGTTCGGGTTTCGGGTATCCGCGGGTTTGGTTTTGGTGATGGATTTCCACCCGAATCGGTTTTCGGGGCGGATTCAGGTTTCGATTTCGGGTTTCGGTTTTGGGTGCACGGAGACTCCACCCGATCCAAACCCGACCCGTTGCCATCCTTAATCAATAGGTACACCTCCTCTAATCTCCTTTGACTCTGAAGGATAGAAAACTATTGGAGATACAACCTGCAACATCGGTGTTTTTCATTATCCTCCTTTCATCTGTGCCTAAGTTGTACGGGCCTACACCGCCTTATTAGGTCTAAGTTGTCGGGGCAAAGGAACCTTCAACCACTACTATTCCTGAATCACACCAAATGGTAGCCGTTTAACTGTTTTGACTATGTGGCTGAGTGAACTACCTTCTTTTTTTTTTGCTGAAAAAATTAGCACTGAGTTCGTTTCATTTTCATTTTAGCTTCAGTCAATAGTTCATATATGGTCAATTGTTTATTCTAACCCTATAAATATACTTGTTCATTTTGTTGTTGGCTGCAAATTAGATTGCCACACCATCATATCCAGCTTTGTTAAGAATAGTCCATATGTATGTGCTAGAAAGGTAGACTTCATGTATGTTTTTTTTTTTATTCATTAATGTTAGACTTTTTTTTTTCATTTCGCCGTATTTCTTCTAGCTTGTTTCGTGCGATGCACTATTCTGTTCATACTCATTTCAATCAAGATCAATCTTGTATAAATTCTCTTGTGGTCTATCTATTTGTGGGTTTCTCAGAGTGCAATCAGAAATGAAGGCTTTGGTGTTATCCAGTTGTTTTATAGTTCAAAATAATGTGAAGCTTATGTTGGGCTTATTTTTCAAAAATATATGCAGGACAAGAATCTTCCCCCGCGAAGCTGTTTCTTCTACATCTCTTGGAATATAGATCAGAGGAGCATATGTTAGCAAAGATTTAGCCTGCTTATAATGTAGTGTTTATATTTGGACGCATTGTTAGAAAATATGTTAGAAAATTAGGCTTAATTTTGGATGCGTTGTTAGAAAAGCATGCTCAAAAGATGTGATTGAAATGATATATGTATGTTCCTTTTCGTTGTGATTTATTAATTATGGTTGTTACCCAATAAGCTAAGTAGCAACATTGCTTTTATTAAGTACAAGTTTTAGCTACACAAATTAAATTTTAAATATTAACAACTTTATAAAAACAGAGGGGGGTGGGGTTTTCTGCTGATCACCAAAGCTGGGTAGTTAATTTTTTAATTTTGAAAAATGATTTAATAAAATATGTACTTATTCTCTTGTGTATGATTTTTTTGTTAGACACGTACGTGCCGCACGGTGCATGTTCACTAGTTATTATTATAAGAACCTAATTTGTGATTTATCGTTTCTGTTTAGTGCAAAGTGGACCTTATATCGAGGGTGAGCATGGGCCCCGGGCTGGGGGCTGCAGCACGGGACGCGGCCCAAGTTCTATAGGAGCAGGTCTTCAGCTGTAGCCCAAGAATGGAAAGGCAGCCCTCCCCAGCCAGCCCAAGGCAGCCCTGCCCCCACGCGTCCAGGCCCAGCTGAGGCAACCCTAGCCCTGGCCCTGGCGACCTGGCCTGCTCAGGTGCTAGCGGCGGCCGCCTCACCGAACGCGGAACGCTCGCCGCCCCTCGAGCGACGACCGCGATTCCTCGGCGAGTCCGCGTCGGGCGTTGGCGACGGCGAGAGCTCTCCACGCGTGGACCACAGCTCCAAAGCCCCAGCCAGCCGGCGGCTGCCCCTTCCCCCCTTCTGTAGGCTGCAGCCTTGCCCAGCGGCCGCCCCGATCGCCGCTCGGCCTTCCCGGCGGCCGCCCCGCGCGGTCACGCCCGGCAGCCGGCCGGCCCTTCTGCAACAGCCAGCGGACCGCCCGCCCCAGGCTGAGGCAGTGAAGCTCCACGCTCCAGCTCCAGAAATCACGGTGAGAAAACAGACCGAACACTTGAAGAGGAGAACAGGACCGCATTTTAATTTCGATTTCAATTGTTGGTTGATGCTATGCTCTCAGTAGTTTATACATCATGGGTACCAGGGCATGTAGGCAGGATGACTATACTGTTGACTAGGCTCGATTGTACGATTTGAAAACATTGCTTGATGTGTATCAGTTCCACATCCACAACCACATTCTACTAGGATTCTGCATGCAAGTTGAATGGACCAAATTCAGTTATAGAAGGTCAAATGTGTGTTAAAGTTTCTGGGCTGTAATACACTTTTTGTTCTTACACAGATTGATTAGCATCTGCCTACAAATCATAACCCTTGGTATTTGTTGAGCACTGCAAGCGGTTGAGGTAAACATGCTGAAGAGCATCTTGAGCCAGTCATGGAAGAGAGGAGCACATATGCTACGTGAAGGAACTTCAGCACCGGCTCTATTAACTTGCTGGAGTCAATTTCACAGCGGGCAGGTAACACAGATCATTGTCTGACAGCAATAAGGGCCCGTTTGGTAGAGCTCCGGCTCCAGCTAAAACAGCTTTAGTTGTGGCTTCACCTGTGGAGCAGCTTTACTCGTGGAGCTGAATTCGTTTTTAGAGATCGTTTGGCAAAATAGCTTCTCTGGATGGTCGAAAAAAGTAAAATGTCCATAATGCCCTTGTATGTTTTTTCTTTTTCTTTTCTTATTACCTTACCTTATCCGTTTGCCGCTCGTCCTCCACCCTCGAGCAACCGCACACGTCGGGGGTCCTCCTCCTCCTCCTTGGCCGCATCGGGCCCTCCGCCGCCGCCCGCTGCCAACCCTCACCACGCCGGCGCACCCGTCCCCACCTCCACTCCACCGCCCGCCGCCACCCTTCACCACCCGGCCCCACCTCCACCTCGCCAAGACCCGCCCCACCACCACCACCGCCCGCCCGCCACCCATCCTGCCAACAAGACTCCGCCTCCCACCTCCACCTCGCCGGCGCACCCGCCTCCACCTCCACCACGCCGGAGCGCTCGCCCTCCCTCCCGCATGCGCCTCCCTGCCGTCGGGGCAGATCCGACCTCCACGCGCTAGGGTCCACGGTGGCAGACGGGAGCTGGGAGAAGCTCGATTTTTCGGCTCCACCCGACGGAACCGGCATGTGAGAGCGCGTTTCGTGGGGATCCTCACGAGGAGCACCTGCAGAAACAACCGTTTGGTATAGGGAGCCGAAAAACAGCTCCAGTAGCTGCCTCAGAATCCATACCAAACGGCCCCTAAGTTTAACCCTCAGAGTTCTGTCATCATTACAATGATTAAATGAGCAGAATTTTTTTAACTCAGCAACTTACACACCATGAAAAGTAAGTTAAGATGCTTAATGGATGATGTGAAGGTGCAAATGCTGATAGGATTGTTTCTCTTTTCTTTTTTTTTACAAGTTTTTAGGATGAAACATCCTGGTTGGATTAGTGCTAAGTTTTCTTTTATCAGTTCCTATCTGGATTGTGAATTACTTCTTGCAATTGGGTTTAGAACATGAATGATGAAAGTTTGACATATATTGTATGATTGTATCACTATCACTCATGTCTCAAGTGACAGATATCTCTCCTAGGTCAAGTGATTGTACAATAGCATAATCCATTCTAGTCCTAAAAAACTAAGCAAATCTATGATGGCTTGTTTGATGATAAGTAGACTCATATTAGCTTGGATTATCTTCTTGTATACAGTAAAGTTGGAAAGGTCCATGTTACTCCCATAAAGTATAGCCAGAATTTGCTTAACCCCCTAAAGCGTTTAATTAACCCTCTGTTTTCACCCTTTGCTGCTAACAGTTCCTGGTGTTCCCTACCTGTGCACAAGATTAGACTGTTTTGCCAAGTAGGAAGACCATTGGTGATCGACCTAGCCAATTAGGTTATTTTGTTCCACAGAAAGATTAGATAGCTCATGGTTGACTAAACATAATGATACAATGTCCACCTTTTGCTTCATGCGAAGAATTTGAGGCCATTTGACAGCTGCGCGCTGATGTAGCCGGCGTCTCCTACAAGCCTCGTTAATGCAGTACCAACACAACAGAAGCAATCAAGCACCAGTAGGATGATTGTCGCTGTGCCACCCGAGTATTTGCATGGACGTGTGCCTTATAGCGCAGCTTCACGTTGAGGAACAGTAGTCATTGACCGTATAAGCACTACTCCAAACTTCATTGGTGCTGGCATATCCTTTTGAATGTTGTCAATATTGCCAGCAACAATGACGGACCCATCAACTTCGACATTTGCCTCGATGGCCGAGTATGCAGATTGGCTGGCTCCTTTCTCAGCGTGGTTAGCTGTCACATGGCAAACACGCTGGAGGGTTTGCCTGTATTCTGGCACGGTGAACTCTCGTGGTTCTTCAATTTCATGGTGTGATGAGGCTGTTACAATAACATAACACAGATAGCAAATCTACTGATATAAGTTATTCTGGTTGGCAGGACCAAGCAGACTTACATCCATGTTGCAAAACCGAGAATGGTTAGAAGGAAAAGGTGAAAATGATCTGGTTTAACAAAGAGAGAGAGGATTGATTAAATCAAACTGTACGTTAGGGGGGCTAAGCGGACATCAGACATACTTCCTAGGAGTAAAATTAACTTATTCCTATAATGTTCTTGCAAAATCCAGATAAATCTTCTCCCTCTGTGGTAGTGCCTAGAAGAAAACACATGCCTGAACTGGGTTTTAGTCTTGTGGGCATGGAAAGCTGTAAGATGTACTTAGATGAGCTATGCAATGTGTTGAACTATTCATTGACCAAAGATGCAATGACACTTAAATTCAATGTACTACTTAATGAGTCAGAATACCATGGCTCCTGCAGTTTCTACAATTTGGTATAACTGAAGCACTGTAACCGGCTAGTCTACATGCTTTTCAGATTCAGTTGCTGACAGTTATTGGATTATGTGTTTCCTTTCCAGGTCCTAAGTTCTTCTAGGAGCTTCTTTGGTGTGGAGGACTTTGTGGATGAAGACAACAGTAGGCCATACACATACAAGAAGGAGAAGAGATCTAAGAACCCCCACAAGCACATTTCTTTCAAGCAGCGCACCATCGCCTACATGGAGCCCTTCACGCTCGACGTCTTCATTTCCAAGCGCTTCGTCTCGGCATCCCTTACACACCGATCGACTTGCAGGCAGGTCGCGGTTGCTGGGACCAACTCAAAGGACATCAAAGCGATGCTCAAGTCAAGGTCCGACATACCAGCCTGCTTGGCCGTGGGCCGTTTCCTGTCGGAGAGGGCAAAGGAGGCTGACGTGTATACCTGCACGTACACACCAAGGGAGCGGGACAAGTTCGAGGGCAAGATTAGGGCAGTTGTTCAGTCACTGATCGATAACGGGATCAATGTGAAACTTTATCTTGATTGAGTTTGTGGTGTTGGTATGAATAGTTCTGTTGAAACTTGCAAATGAGTTATCTGTTGCTAGGGATCCAGGCTCGAATTATTTTTGTGTCATTAAGTCGATCCAAAAACTTGCTCAAATGAAATGGAATGACATTTCGGGTAATTTGAGTGAGGGGAGAAATGAATTGGAATGATATTTGACTGTAATTAGTTAGCTGACCTAAAACACATCATTGGATACCCACTTGCATCCCTGTGATCTTGTCTGTTGCATCCTTGTGACCTTGTCTGTTAGCGTGACCTTAATATACTTCGAGCTTTATATAGACCTTGTTTAAATTCAGGGTGTAAAGTTTTGGGTTGTCACATTGGGTGTTATATGGGGGTGTCGCATGGGGTGTTCGGATACTAATAAAATAAATAAATTATAGAATCCGTCAGTAATCTGCAAGACGAATTTATTAAACCTAATTAATCCGTCATTAGCATATGCATACTGTAGCACCACATTGTCAAATTATGGACTAATTAGGCTTAAAAGATTTGTCTCGTAAAGTAGTCGTAAACTGTGTAATTAGTTTTTTAGTCTATATTTAATATTTCATGTATATGTCTAAATATTCGATGGGATATGAAGTAAACTTTAGAGGAAGGAAATAAACAAGTGCCAAATAAGCCATCGGTCTCATTTTTCTCGTACTGTGTATTGTGATCGCCTAGAAGCTGAGGCACTTGTCTATCGATCTATGACTACCGAGAGAGCCAGGTTGGTGGGAATTGAGATTGTTTTATGAAAAAAAAAGTAGTAGCGTTTGACGCGAAGGCAATTGGTAATGGCCCTTCAAAACTTGAGAAATTCGCTGCCATTCCCCAGCAGGCCAGCAGGAGATGTATGAATATGATGCTCTCCTGCTCCGTCTTCGTCCATGTATCAGGCTGGCCGCTCTGGCGTGGGCGCCTCCTCGCACATCGTTGTCCGTGGGAGAAGAAGAACGACATCATCGCTGCTCTAATTTCCTGCCTTTACTAACGTACTCCGTACTTGCTACCAAAATCACCGCAAGATCACCCTACCGAGCGCGAGAAAAGGACCAATCTCTGCCCAGCTATTTCAGACTGCGCGATTAGGCCCCGTCAGTCACAGCACATCAATCACCAGTCAGTCGCTTCTCAAGCATTCATTCATGGTATAATTGTCGCACTGGCCCTGACAACACATTGGTCGATCTGGATGTGCCAGTGGTAGAGTTTAGGCCTTGATTAGTTGGCGATTTTTTTTTTTGAAAATGGTACTGTAGCACTTTCGTTGTTATTTGACAATTAGTGTCCAATCATAGTCTAATTAGGCTTAAAAGATTCGTCTCATGAATTTCGTCTAAACTGTGTAATTAATTTTATTTTTTATTTATATTTAATGCTTCATGCATGCGTTCAAAGATTCGATGTGACGAAGAATCTTGAAAAATTTTGTAAAATTTTGGGAACTAAATAGACACTAACATCTGCGTTAGATATCTTGTGAATTTTCCTAAAAAAAAGGATATTTTGTGAATTGTGCTCTCTCGGTCTCGCAGACGTTTGCCCCTGTGCCATTCCATCGCATGATGCGTCTGCTAAACAAAGGCAAGTCTACAAGCGGAAAACAGGGAATTGAAAGTGTTTTTCGCTTGCGGCAGGATGGATGGACCAAGTACGCAGGAGCCAGGAGGCGTCGCTTCCACAAGAAGCAAGATAGGGAAGAAAGCGCGGGGTGTCGGGGGAGATAAAGAGACGTGGTGCTTATGCTTATCCATGGAGGGGAGGTGATCATCACCACACACGTACTTCCGGAGTAATTAACCACGCACTAGAGTCGTAGTACGCTTTGAGCTACCACTGCTTAATAAGGGAGACAAAAAGAAGGCCATCTTGATACAGGGAGAGTATATAGGAGTACCATGATATTAGGACGTCAACCGTAAAAGTTTAGTGTGGTATCAGTAAGCAACCTACGTACACCCCTTTCAGCCGCTCGCAAAAAGGGCACCCGAAGTAAGTAAATGACGAGGAGAATTGGGCAAAGAACTAACGTAGTACTGCCTCCGTATAGGAAAAGGAAGGCGTTCTGGGACTTCTACTGCGTAAAGGATGTCGTCGAGCGCTTGCATGCGTGATTTGGGACGGCTTTGTCCCTGCCGCTTCGCACGCCGCGTCGCCCGTTTATCGCTCCTTTAATCACTGCGTACTAATAATAGCGCAGCCTCGCTTCGTATGCCACGCCGCCCGCTCGCCTCCCTTCGTCCTCAACCGCTCGTCTATCCCGCGCCGCCCGCTTGCATGTCGTTTGCCATTCTTGCTTCTAGCCAACAAAGCTTGATAAACTTGTTTTGTGACTTCTTCTGTCATGTCTTTTCTTCGCTGGTTGACTTGAACGGAAGCCTCAACAACATGTTCTAGTTGTAAAAAAAATAAACACACTAAATCCAACGATTTTGATTACGAGCAAAGTTTACTTTAAAAAAGCAAGGGAGGTTTATCTTACCAGCGAGGTTTTGTACAAAATCAAAATTAACTGCACCATATTCGCCCAGTGGCAAGTTCAAATCAAATCCTATCAAAAAGGAAGCATTGAACTAGTAAGAAATGAACTGGCCATGTGACACATGAAACTAATGGCCCCGTTTGCTGGTCTGAAACTTGGCTGAAACTGACTGGTTGTTGTGAGAGAGAAATACTGTAGCGGCTGAAATTGACCGGGTGATGTGAGGAGGACCAGCCGACTGGTCAGCCGGACCAGACCAGCGAACATCGCCAATAAGATCTAAACTGGCCATGATACTATGAGACATTACCGTTGCCAGTTTCCAACGGAAACTCGTTGAGGTCAAACCCACCATTGCCGTCTTCGTCTTCCAGTACCGGCGCGTTTAGATCAAAGGTACCAAATGAACTGGCCATGTGTGACTCTAAGCTAGCAAATGAACTCGCTCGTTCCTGTCCAAGCGAGTTGCACGGGGCGTTTAAATAGCGAAACGCGAGCGAGCGCCAGCGCCAACGCGCCATGCAACGAAAACAGACGCGCGAAAGAAGGAAAAACAAGCGATGGAACGCCAGCGCGCGCGATGCAACGAAAACACACCCACGCGCGCGCAACAGACGAAGGCAAACGCAAAAAACGCTCAGCCAGCGCGCGCCATGCAACCACACAATGCCATGCAAACGCACACGCGCAACAAACAGAGGAAAACGCTAAAATCGAAGCGCACGGCAAAAAATTGCGCTCGCGAAGGATCGAACCTGGAACCTCAAGTCTCTGGGAGTTGCTACGCTAACCAATCAAGTTGCGTGAGGTTATTGTCTACAAAGGACCCACAACTGTATTTAATAGGGGTAGATAGGGAAAACTCTACCCTAATTAATCACTCCTTGGTATGCTAAATGCTGTCCTAAACGACTTTCTTTACCAGTATGGAGGGAGTATGGCAGTATGTACCACTAGCTAGCAGAGTGTCCTCACAAACTGGCATATTCCTTGTTGGGCTATCCTCGCAAACCGGCATATTCCGGTCACAGGGGGGTGCCCGATGTGCCTGAACAAAGCTGAAGATATAAAGCACTTGCTGTTCACATGTGATCGAGCAAAAGTTGTATGGAGTGCGATTGGCATTTGGGGTATGATAGCCCCCCTACTTGGCACAGATCATTCAGGATCTATCATCCTGGAAGAAATTATAAGAAGAGGAGAGGAAGTCAGGAGCCTGGATATTGGCATGGCAGAGCTGGTTCTAGTAGGAAGTTGGTATATCTGGTGGGAGTGGCGGCAATACACCCACGGTGATACTATCCAGCGGGCATCGAGGTCGGCTATGTCGTTTGCAGCTAGCTAGGAATTACAAAATGGCATCAAAGAAGGGGTGAAGATCAGAGAAGGATGGAAGAAACCACCTGAGGGCAAAGTCATGGTAAACGTTGATGCATGATTCGATTAAGATGTGGGATGTGGAAGCATGGGCGCCCATCATCAGAGACAGCTTAGGGGGTGTCATTGCGGCTACGCACTGTTTCATATCTCATGTTGTGGATGCACCAATGGCTGCTAAAGGAATGATTGATGCGAGCTCAGCACACAGGATGTAATCGGTTGATCATCCAGTCGAACTGTATGGAGGTGGTTGAGACCATGAAGGACGGGGGCGTCTCAGCAACGTCTACAGCTGATTTATATGATGAATGTATTACGGTAAGGAGCGGTTTCTAGGAAATATCAATTGAGCATTGTAGTAGAGACGCAAACCAAGCGGCGCATGAGTTGGCAAAGAGAGCTATGTTAGTGAAACAAAATTGTATTTGGGACAATGAGCCCCCTAGTTTTATTCTCGCCTTTGTGATAAACGATATAACCATCCTCAATGAATAAAGTCCTTGCCAGGTTAAAAAAAGCTAGCAGAGTGTCTTCTCTTTCTTTTTTTTACCCGACGAACTACATTGCTAGGTGTTCGATAAAACTGGGCCATGCATCGCTTGGATCACGCGCGCAAAGAGGACATGGTCCAGTCCAGACGGTGCAAATAAAAGAGACGGAAAGCTGCAGGAGTGGCATGCATAGAGCAAAGTCCTAGGACCAGAGAAATGCTGCCCCAGCCAAATTTAACCGGGATACTTTCTTAAGCCTAGCAAACCATTCGACTCCATCAGCATTATGGTGTACCATACGAGAGTCCCCAACCTCAGTGTCAAGGCACAACCATTGACAGTATATTAGCCTGAACTTATCAGCTATGGAACCATGTTTTTCCCTCACACCAAATCAGCTTCAACCGGTTTATCAGTCGCATAAACCATCAGCCGAATATGCCACTATCATCTACATCTCTGCTCCCTCTATCTATTATACTGGTAGAGGTTAAAGTCTCTAACGTTCGTTCTCAAGCAGGCCACAGATGTCACCGGCTCGTTGCACTAATAACCATCACCTGCCCACCAGGAAAGCGACGATCCCACGCGTGCAGTTCCGCTGGGCAGGAGGCACCGATCATTGCCCGC